AGACTTTTGCTCCTGGGCACGGTTTGCATCATCCCCATCACACCCTCGGGGAAGAGGAGCCAGCCCCCTTTCCAGCCTCAGCTTCCGGCCGAGCGACCCCTCCCCCTCCGGGTCCCCCCAGGCCCTTCTCCCACCCTCCTCCTCACCGTACCCCCTCTGCAGCGCCCGCTGCCCCTCTCTGCCCTCCTCCATCCCTTGTTGGATGTTGCCCACTCCTTAAGGAAGGATGGTTGATTTGGAGAGCGAAGTGCCCCCTCTGCCTCCCAGGTACAGATTTCGGGATTTGCTGCTAGGGGACCAAGGCTGGCAAAATGATGACAGGTGAGTGGCCTGGTGCAGTGTTCCACTGCTTGGAAGGGGACAAGACACTGGAGAGATGTGGAGAGGATGGAGGGAGAGAAAGGGAGACCAGCACAGAGGAGTAAAAGGGACTCTACACCTCTCCATTTTGACTCTGTAGAGCAGTCGCTGTGGACAAGGAACTCTTCCTTTCCACTTTCTCATTCTTGCGATGCATTTGTTGCATTTATTAGATAGTCTTTGTCTGGCTGTGCTTCCCTGGTTGTGTATGAGGCTGCAAGCAGAGGTACAATCACATCCAAACGGCACGCAGTTTCAGTGTCAAATGTTTCTTGTTCTTTTCCTTTTGGTATAGCTAATCCTCATAAATGTATTTTCCAAGCGATTGAAAAATCACAGTAGAAACTTAAAATCTCCTGTACCCACTTTCTTACTCCTTGTCGCTGTTGTCTCGACTAGATCTTTGCTTGCCACTGGGAGTTTTCTCCTGTTTAAATATTTGGAGTTCAGGGGGGCAATTGGTTTAAATACGTAACAGGTAGTTAGTAAAGCAAGAATGCTTGGAATAGGAAATCCACCGAACGGGTTCTTGTAGCACGATTAGCATATTTTCACCCAAATAACGCATATCTCAAAATGACAAGTTTCAAAGCTGAAATATTTATTACCAGCAAAACATTTCTTATATGTTCAATCAATGGCATTAAGCTTTGTGCAATTTAACTTATACGATGCTCTGGCTAGTTTTTTTTTTTTTTTTTTTTTTTTTTTTGCACACTTTTATGTTACATTGAATTGTTTTCTAGAATGGTAATTTCATTTATCGCATGCCACATTTTCTTGTTTTAAAGTAATATATGTAATCTATCAATGCAGTTTAAATGATCCCCCGAAGTTCAGTTTGGCATTAATGTTCTGTTTGAATTAGATAGAGGATCCATTATTGGTCCAATCTGAAGTCTCTTCCGCATTCACCATTGGGCAATATGCTCTCTGCTTTTTCTTCACCTTCTCATTTCCCAATACTAACTCATATTCCAGTACTCTGGGGATTCTGTCTTGGACTTCAATTACGAGCATCTTTCTTGGTCTCACATTAGTACTTAGTGGCATATGCATGGGTGCCTTGTGGAGGATACTGTTTCCAGTGAATCTCTTTTTAGACAGAACCTTGCACACTGCTTAGAAATTTAAAGAAGGAGTTCTTGGGTTATTTGCCGTGTATCTAAAAGAAGGTGTTAAGTGGAATTAACTGGAGTTAACTGGATAATTAAATGGATGTTTAAATGTATTTAGATGGATAACTGACATTTAGATAAACTATCTTATCCTTGTGAAACGACATAAAATTAAGCATTGGGTTTCTGGTGATGGAATTTCCATTTCTTTTGGGACTTCAGGCTCATTACTTCAACATCAGAAATTTGTGTAGGAAGTATGGGCTAGATTGAATTCTCTGAACAAGCATTGGATACAGTGGCACAGTGTTATTTGTTTGACTAGATTCCAAATGCTGATTGTTCATGTGGTTGCCCTCACTTTTTTAAGTTTCTCTTTTAGTATTTACTGATAGAGTTTGGGCTAGCTGTGCTTCCTATGTGTCAACTGTCAACGTACCACTCTAAAAAGCTTTGACATAGTCATTTAAAATTTATGTTTACAAAAAGTTGTTTTTTCCAGCCTAACTTTAGCTTAAGAATCTACTCACATTTGTCATTGAAATAAAATATTTATTATCGATGAAACTTTTTAGATGTTCAAAGTGTTTAAGAGATTTAACTGATTTTGAGGCGTTGTAAAAGTTAATATTTAGCTGGTTTTATATCTGTTATTAATCTTTGAAGTCAAGATCATTACAATCAGAGAGAACATATTTCAATATTTTGCATATACCCTCATAGTTGAGGCCTTGGATAAGTCATTTGGAGATTATGAGCTTTAGTAATTTTATGTTTATAGTGTAAATATGTATTTCAAAAAAGGTCTACCTCCTAGAACGGTGACAAGAGGGAAGGCCGGATAGCACAGGACTAATGTGGCACATGGCATTCATTCTCATACTTGCCTCAAAACCTAGCTAATTATTTTAGCAACAAGGAAACCAAGATTCTGGAAGACTGAATGGATAATATATCTTATAACAATAAACACAGAAACCTATGGGGCCTTTTGTAGTAGATCAGTACGTATCCCTAACATAGGAACAGACTTGGGAGCTCATTCCACATAGAGGGATACTCCTTGAACTTAGACACAAGGGGGTGGGCCTAGGCCATATCCCAAATGATATGTCAGACCCTTAAGACCCCCCTATGGAAGGCCTCACCCTCCCTGGGGAGCAGAAAGGGTATGGGATAAGTAGGGTGTTAGTGGGGGGGGGGCAGGGGAGGAGGGGATGGAGAGGGAACTGGGATTGACATGTAAAACAGTCTTGTTTGTAATTTAAATTTAAAAATGGAGAAAGAAAAAGAAAAAAAATAAAGGCATGGGCCACCACTGCCCAGAAGAACATACTTAAAAAGAAATGCATAAAGACAATTCAAGGTGATTCAATTTATGTTCTTTGTGACTCTAATTCCTCAAAACTCTAAAAACTAAAAGGTAACTAGTGTTTCCTCCATTTCAAGTATAAATTATAAATTCATGGCTCCTACCATGGTTTGGTTTCTTTCTAAATCTTGGTTTTCTCACTTAATATTCACAGTTATACTTCTTTCTTTTTTCCTGTTTCAGGATCTTAAACTCATATGCAGTAAGTAAGCCATGCCATTTCTGTTTGATAAGAGCACAGTTTTCTCTTTGCAATTAAGTCCGAGCAGAAAGCTGAATTTACCTCGCTATGTATGTTGGTTCAATTCCTAAGGAGCTGGGTAAGAAACACTTCCATGGCGTAGTTTGCACACACTAGACGTTAAGCATGGATGGAGAAGAGGTGGCTAAGGTGACAATGAGCAAACACAGAGTTATTTTATAGTTATGTTAGTACCTTTCTTCATGGATAGAATGATTTAAAACATGTTTACTATATTGTGTCCAATAAAATTCTAGTTGCCCACAGTGGTTATTGTCTTTTTCCTGCAAACTTTATGGCCTGACTGATGGCTGGCTTCACTGTCAATATCTAAATAAACCTCTTTGATGGCTTCTGGGGAATATGGAATCTAGATACCATCTTCTCTGTTTAGAATGGCATCTTGGATTTTTTTTTTACCTCCCTCTTTAAGAATTTTAAGGTAAATCTTATTAGCTTGTAAAAAATAGCAAGGATGTGATAGATAATTGAAGAAGTGATCTTGAAGAGAAAAATAAATTTTGATGAGCCTATTAGGTTACGAAAAGTAGCTTACACTTGTGACCTGAAACTCACTATAACTTAGGTTACTCTCAAATTCATGAAAATCTTTCTGCCTCAGTGTCTCTCCTGGTGGGTTTGTATGCATAAGCTATCAAAACTGGCTTGAGATAGTGTATGTTTTATGTAACATTTCTGTAACATATCTTAGGATAGGCTACCTCTCCGTAGGTAAGCTTCAGACTACCCTGACCAACACACATGTACACACTTAATATGTGTAATATATACTTGTAATATTTAGAGTATGTGAATACATTATCTCAGTGTCATCTTACATAATCCCCTCTCACCTGCATGTGGTATCCTTTTTTGCATAGATTATGAGTTAGTGCCAGCAGTGCTGACAATGGTCCATGGCCTTAGTTCTATGACACTTTGAACTAAGTTTTAGAGTTGCTGGATGACAGCACAACTTTTGCTTTGAGGTTGTCTGTTTTACATATAATACATATTTATTTCTTTGAAATTCTGAGTATAACACAAAGATATGCTCCAAATGGTTTCTATAAATGATTTTTTTTCCATCTCTCCATTCACCTGGCATTTGAATGCTTGTTGTGCCGCAGGTCTCATTATTTAGGTCTGAGAAATAAAAATATACAGATGAGTGTGAAACATTTCCTTCTTGAGTAGGGAAGTATTTATTGAATAATAGATGAATTTTCTCAAGAATATTACTGACAGGATTGTTTATGTTATGACTATGTCCTAGAAAAATATACATCTCAAAATTTAAAGAAAATTCTATGTCCTTTGTTTATAGTATGTTCTACATTGGCTTGAAAACAAAGCAGTTGAAGTCATCCCATTAGAAATGGACTAAGGTCCTCCATGCATCTTTAGTGTAGTATTTAGAATATTTTGTGATTTCACTTTTATTTTATGATGGGAAATCATAAATAGACACTAAATCTTACTGGCTTTACACAGGAGCTGTTCTGTAATATATAGATTCATGGAAGTGCTAAGAGCCTGTGTTTTTTATTTAATGCTTCTGAATTGTGAAACAATAAAGATTTAAAGTATTCTCTTTCAGTTAAACATTGGTAAGTCCCAAGTTTTAAAGACTTCCAGCAAGTTAATATTGGCCTTTCTCCTCTTTCATTTTTAATTTTTAAAAAAAATTTAAGTTTAGAACACAGTGAATTTGATGTCGATAAATTATCACAATTCTGTTTATTGCCAATGGACAGATTTCAATTGTAGTTATAATGAGAAGGCCAATTATTTAATTAACTCATTTTGTTTCAAATATTAGGGCAGTTATTTCAACTATAGCAATCTTAAGTATATCCTTCCTTATTTATAGGTGATATTTAAAATTAATCTAAGCAAATTGCTGGTGATTAGAACCAAAGAAGGATTTGAACACAGAGTACAAATCTATCAATGAACAGTTTAAGAGATATCTATAAAATAGGGAAAGAATTTGAGTAGATGCTGGAATAGTTTAAAAATTTTAGGTATTATATCACAAAATATATTACTGATTATAATAGAGTAGATATTAAGAATGAATTTTACAATACCATATGGAATATTTGTATAAGTCAACCATTTTTCTCCAATAACAGATAACATTATTTTAGATGGTAGTTATTGATTATAATATATTTATTTTAAACCTTTTAATTCAGATTATTTAATATACATTAAGAAAGAATAT